GTTGCATTGATTTGCATTTGCCTAAGTATCCGTCATATGTCATATTATGTTTCAGGTGCATAGAGAGCCAGACACTATATCAGACACTGACTGCAACTTTTTCTTTGATATCTAATCGAAACCTATGGCTTTCCTTCCTCCTTTCCAGCCCCTCGTGAAACAACAAAAAGTTAACGTTTGTGGAATGAGTTTTGTGTGACATATATAGATAGATGTAATTGTTCAACACAAAAGCAAAAGTTTAGGCAAATATGTGTGGTTTTACCATGCCACCATGTGAATGCCCCACAAGCTGTATTGCTCCTCGTCTCTGCTTCCATTGGATGACAACATCCAACCCTTTTGCTAAAAGCAATACCTTTTTATCAATGCCAACCAACTTTCTCACTGTATGCTTATATTACACAGATGTTCAAAACATATTCTAAGGAAAAAGCTGACTTTTCCTCCTTTCGTTTTTTCAGTTACCTTTGAAAATATTTTAGAGACGGAAATGGTGCACGTGAACCTTGTAGAATTTCATCACCATATTCTAGCTCACAACCACCAAGAGTGGAAACTCACTTGGAAGTAAAATGTATATATATTATCAGACTTGGAAAAGCTACAATTGGCATTAAATGATCTAGATCTTTCTTGAAAAATCTAGCAAGTTCACGGACACTGAAACTGACATTTGCGTTTCTAAGATCCACACATGTTTACAATGTCAGATTCTCGGGAACCACAAGAACACTTATAAATAGAATCCTTCGAGCTACACAGCTGAGGTACATGCATATGAATATCAATTCTTGAACCACGTTTAGCACAGTCGAGTTCAAACAGATATCTTTGAGTAGCAGTTAGCAATATGGCACCGAATGGAGAGTGTTTGCCTAGTTCATTCTCTAGAAACAGCAACATGTGCAAGCCTCCGAGGCTTTCATCTGATCAAATTCAAAGAACGATCTCAGACATCTCGTTTGAGCTAACGAAGGAAGGGATTGATCTGTCACTGGCACCTATAACTGAGGTTATGGATGCCAAGTGTGAGTGCTGTGGAATGTGCGAGGAGTTCACTCCAGAGTACATAGAGCGTGTGCGTGAGAAGTTTTTGGGGAAGTGGGTGTGTGGTTTGTGTGGTGAGGCAGTGAAGGAAGAGCTTGAGAAAAATGGTGGGAAGAAGGAAGAGGCATTGAGTTCACACATGAATGCATGTGTGAGGTTCAACAAATATGGAAGGGCTTTTCCAGTTTTGTTCCAAGCTGAGGCCATGAAAGAGATGCTGAAAAAGAACAAAATGGAAGGCAGAAGAAGGGCCAAGTCCTTCAACCCAAGGGAGACAGGAGGACAAAACAAAGGAGGGATTGCTAGAAGTTCAAGCTGCATTCCAGCAATCACAAGAGAGATCAATGGTCTCACAATGGCCAATTAGTTCCTAATAACCCCTTATTAGTACTCTTCTAAACATTCAGTGTTCATTACTATATTCCTATCTGTCTGAAGGGAACATGGTTTTGTATCTGTCATTGTTTTTTCTACTGACTAGTGACTGTTCCAAGTTCTGGGGGAAGAACATGGCCCTATGTTTTGATGCAGAAGATTGAAGGCCAAGTTGTCTTGTTTTGTGTCCAAGGTTTTTTGGGTAACCTCTCACAGCATTCTGGTTTTTGGAAGCAGGTTCTTCTCACTTGACTTCTTGTCTGTGTTTTTTTTTCAGCTGTCAGGTTGTGCCTGGTTTTTGGTCAGTGGCTTTTCTTGTTTGAATCAATTCAGTCTAATGTATTCCACTGTTTTCAGGATCGTTTATGAATAAAATTTACTCGATGAATTAATTGAATTAAATATAAAATTTACTTGTTTCATAATCATGATTTCATTTATCATTGAATCCCTCTCAGATCATTCATAATGTGTAATTTCATATTCAATATATATACCGCTATTAAATTATTATACACATTTTAACTGTGTTTGCAAATTTAACGTATAGTTTTGTCTCTTATTTTAAAAAAGTAACGGTAAGATAAAATACATTTTAATTTATTTGATACCCGTAACAAAGATAAAATAATTATAAAAAAATAATTTTTTATAACTTTTCAAAAAGAGAAAAAAATAAAAAATAAAAAAGATAATATTAAATGAATATAAAAAAATTATGTGAATGAAAGTATAATATCTTCGTTAAAAAACTTGATGGCGGGAGAAAATGGTGAAAAAGTGAAAAGTCAATAATTTTTTTCGTAGCTTAAAAAAAATCGAAATATCAAATGAATAAAGACATACATAATATAATAAAATTAAATTTGTATTTATGGTATCATATCATTATAAACCGTTGTACACGATAATAAATAACTTTAATAACTTTTATAATAATTATTTTCCTCTTCGAAGGAGTTGAAAATAATAAGAAAACTTTTTCGTAATTCATGCACCCGGTAACCAATTGAGTTGCATTTGATTAAAATTAAATATTATTCTTGAAAGGGTAAATAGATAAAATAAAGGGTTAAATATGCTTTTAGTCCCTAAACTATTGGCTTCGTCCCTCTTTCAAAGTAAAGTACAATTTGGTCCTCATTCTTTTCGAAACGTTCGTTTTAGTCCTCGAAAACTAAACACTGTTTAAAAATTTGGTCCTCATTTAGCAACAAATGAGGAATAAAACCAAAATTCCGAGAACTAAAATGAACGTGAGGACCAAATTGTACCTTACTTTGAAAGAGGACGAAAACCAAAAACGGCCAATAGTTTAGAGACTAAAAACATATTTAACCCTAAAATAAATATACGTTTATTTCAGTTTTAGTATAATAAAAAAATTACAACCTTAATAATTTTTTTTAATTATGTTAATGTTTGAACTCCTCTAATAAGTGAAATAATTGAATAAGGTTTGATATTTAATAGCGGTCGTATTCATCTATTAGAAAAATTAACTTAAATAACATGCGATGAACTTTAAAAAAATCTTTAAGGGTTTTAAATTAATAAGTAAGACAACAAAGGGGGAAAGACTTCCTTCAATATATGTTAACATTAATTTTTCTTTTAATAAACACAAGATAATTATTACACCGAATTTATATTTAATTACACTGATAGTTAATAAAGTTTAAATAAAATTAACGGAATTATTTTTCTTTATCAAATATAATATTTTTTATTGTATTAAAAATAAAATATATTAAAATGAATAAATTATTCTTTTATAAATGGTCTCAAAATAACATAGTAACTCATTTTAAATAAGGTTTTCAGTTCTGGATCCTTTTAATTATGTAACACCTAGCAAAGACTTAGTTACTGATTGTGCATAAAAAAAATAAGAAAACTAAATTGAATAATTAAAACAAAAATTAGAATAAAAAAAGGATTTTAACCTTTTATTTACAAATATAAATTTCTCATCAGTACAGAAATTTAAAACATCTAACTGTCCTTAAATGATTATATTATAATTTCCTCAAATATTTCATAACTTCATTTGTTACTTGGCTTTGGGCAAGTTTAATCTCTATAGTTAACCTTAATTTAAGAGAGAGAAAATACGAAAATGACGAAGACAAATCAAACTTCTATGACTCAGTTATTAAAGTAAACTAATCTGACTTTAGGAGGTGAATTTTTTGTCTGTGTATATTTTAAAGTCATTTTCAATCATTTCATTTACATAATTAAAAGCCAATGATTGATTTTAATACCAATTAACTTTAGGTGGGTGTTCCCTTCTTCAACCCTATTTTTTTCTTGTAGTTTCTTTTTTCAAAAACTCATACTTCAAAAAGTCACCTTTAATGTTTTTTTTTTAAATAGTTGTATTATCATTATTTATTTAAATATTTTATAATTTTTTAGGAGGTAGTTTTGAAGAAAGAATGTTAGACTTCACCACAAAAAAAAAGGAAAAAGTTGAACCGGTAATAAGGATGACAATCGGACATGAAGGTTAAGAGTTTAACTAGTTTTTAAAATACAATTCATTTTCATACCTATGTGTAAAAGGTACGAAAATTTTGTTTCATCTAATATATCAAAAAATCGTGCATAAAACTGATGGATCCGAACAAAACCAAAACATCAATCCTAAAAATTAATTAATTCAAAACTAAAGAAGATTATTTTTGGTCGAATTTTAGCTAGAAATCAACTACAAAATCTATAAATAAAAGTTTAAGATAAAAGATTATTATTAATTACAACATTCATTGCTATTTATCTAAGTTGATTTAATTTTTGTGTCGAAGTGTCTTCTCTATATACCATTTAAAAAGTTTAAAAACTTCTCACCAAATATAATTTGGATCTTGAAAGACACATCAAGATAAGATGTTAATCTCACACCCAAAACATATAATATTAGGAGAGATTCAATATTATTTTCTCAAAAGTTAAATGTTAAAAACGAAATTATAATTTATAGTATACAAATTAAATAATTATAAAAATATGAACGTGTGTTTTAAAATAAATTACAAAATTAATGAAAAAAAAATAATATAAATTTTTGTATTCATCTATAAGGAATATTGAGATGTGTACAAGTTTCTATACTTAATTAAAAGATTAAACATTATTTATGCTGAATCTAAAGATTTAATGAGATCGAAATAGTAAGCGTGATTTATTTGTCATCCTTATTGGCATAACTAATTCTAGCATAGATAGATTAGTGAGATAAATAAAGTTATGTTGGAAGAAAGATATTTATGGTCGAAAAAAGAAGATGGAAGCACAATCCGAAACGTGAAGAGGTTGTGTTGGATGGAGGCTGTACAATGTGGGACTTTTCTATACCTAAAAAGCTCCACTTCATAGTACTCCTTTCGTCCTCTTCCCTCCAATAATCATACCCTCCAAATATAATAAAATAACCACATAACATAAAGTAACACAAAACATGCATGCACCCATTGGTCATTCTAATTCTAAACTGCTTTCAATAATCAACACACGTTTTCCTTCTTCCCTCTATTTCTCCACCACTATATAAAGACATCCATCCTCCTACCGTCTTCTCTCAAACAATTTCTTCTCTTCTCTAACTCTCTCTCTCGAATTATTTCAAACAACACAAACGAATTTCTACCTTACATATACAAATGAAACCTATAGAAATGGAAACCAAAGCACCGATAGTAGCCAAGAAAGTCTGGGACATGGTACGTGTGATGTTCTTCATGATGAGAAAAGGTATATCCAAGGGCAAACTCATGATGGACCTCAACGTCATGCTAAAGCGCCGCAGCAAGCTCGCCGGAAAAGCCATTGCAAACCTCATGTCCCACCACCACCACCACCACGCCGCCTCCCACGACTCCCACCTTCAATTCTCTGCCCCGAGGGAGTACGAGTTCAGCTGCAGCAACACTCCCAGTGCCTTCTCCTTCCCCGCAATAGGGAAGCGCCACCGCCACTTTTTCGCCTGTGTCCACGCGCCCCCCACACAGGACGACGACTCCGTCACTATGAACGCGGTGAAGACGGTGTTGGAGATGCTGAACAACGACGTCAAGGTCGAGACGACGTCGTCCCCTGCTCTGCCGGGGTTCGGGCGGAGCCCCATGGTGAGGCAACTGAGGGTGACGGACTCACCGTTCCCTCTGCGAGATTCCGACCAAGACAACGACCACCAGGTCGATAAGGCGGCGGAAGAGTTCATCAAGAGGTTTTACAAGGAGCTCAAGAAGCAGGATTGATTAATTACTTCACCTTGTCTACCTTGTGTTTATTTTCCTTCTGTTCATAATAAATGTTCCATTGTTGTTCATTATCAATTTTTGGATATTTTCCATCACATATATACCCCACCACACATAATATCGATGCATGCATGTCTTTAATTTCATTACTGCTTCCATACAATAAAACGGAAAATTGCAGACTGTATTATTTGTTTCTGGCAAACTAAATCATTTTATTTATTTTTTCTCTCTTAACTAAATCATTGTTAATTAATTTCGTTAAAATTATTATTAGTTTTTTTCTCTCTCTTTGAATTGTTACTCTAACTAGCCATCACTTTTCCTTTTCCTTTTGTTTGTCCATGGAGTTGATAGTCGTGCAAGCTCAACTAAACCTCCTTTATGAAAAGCAGAATTAATGATTGAAGGTGAGCAGATAAGAGTGATGATATTTTATAAGACAATTTGGCGAAAAATACGAACAGAAAAAAAAAAAACATAACCGAGGATGTTGGAAAAAATTGAACAAGATCGAACCTTAGAAAAACACTCTTTTGAAGATCAGAGGATAATTGAACTTATAAAATATACGAATTCTTCAATTAAATATTCTGATTTCTGACAAACTTGGAAACAATTATTAGAATCTATCTTTGGTATCCTTCCTTCGTACCCCTTTTTGTACCCAAATAAGTATATATTGAATCTTTAGATTAGATTTAATACCAGCACTACCTTGCAGAAATAAAGCCTTGTCTCCTCTTATACTTGTCCTGGTTAACTCTTACACATGAAGCATAATCATATTTTTTATTTTATGTAATACAAAGATCAATCGAATGGACTAAATTATACGAATATTTGAATATTTTTGAAATATGATCCGTGTGTGATATGATATATATGTATAAACTGGAGAGTACTTGACATAGACAATATTTGGTAAGAAATTATTGCATTATAAGTTTGTAGGAAAACGTTGAAAGATTTTGACCTATGGCATTTTGGTTGGTGTGATTGGTGAAGGTGGTTTGGTTTGAAGTGAAATTGGCTTTTACTGCAACAGAGACACTCCCACTTCCTTGTCCTACTGTCTCCATAAATGATTCCACTGACACGTCCAAGTTAAACTATTAACTATACCTTCCTCTCAACTTTTGCTTTTCTTCTTTAACTTCACCTTTTTTCACTCGCATTAACCACTTACGCAAACTTTCTAAAATACCACTT